GATTGCTTCTTATATTTAGATTCATCTGTCGCTATAGCATACATTTTTTTGGTTAAAATCATAGTAGTAATAATCAAGAGTTACATCTTGCAGGTTAGAATTATATTACCATTGATCTGTGACAAAAAATCTTATTTAAATTTTTAAAGATTCACTATTGTAATGCAGTTGTAGTTAAAAGCTTGCACTGAGCTTGACGTGACCATTTTGAAGGTTTTCTTTTGTTCATTTAACACCACCTCCCTAATTCCAATAGTGGTTGGACTTAAACTATTTAATAGATTAAATAAACAAAGCTATTTAACTTTCCCTTAGAGAACCAGGAATTTTTTGTCGAAACACCCATGCAAACATGGCTGGTGTAAAAGCAATACACCAAGTGTGTGATTAATTTTTTGGGTACTTTTTATGATGGTAACTTTCAGGTTAAAATTGTTCATAGGATATTGTCTTCATATTAATGAAAGCTTGCGCTCTAATATAATAAAGTTTCTGTGTTCTACTAATTAATGAATTATTTTACTTCCAGGTTAAAGTTGTTGTTTTCACAGAGATCACTTGAAGACCCCCATCACTGCCAGAATTCACAGTGCTCTTCAGGTAAATCCAGTCCTCTTTATTCTATTTATTTTTCATTACCTATGCCACTAATTTTTTAAAAAAAATATTTGGTTTTATTTTTTTACATTTTAACTTGATGCTTGATTTATCACACTGGGTAATAATCTTGAGGTAACTTGCCATTATTGGGATCTTGGAAATTTATTCCCAATGGATCATAAGCCAACCACAATCTTAGTTTTGGCCAGGAAAACCCTGAAAAGTGTGTAATCTGCTTATTAGTGTACTCTTTCAGTTTTGGCTGGGAAATTATTTTAAAGGTTTTCTTCGAAACCTTAAAAATAATTGCTTATTAAAAAGACTTAAAACTATTAAACATTCAGTATTATGTATAACAGCGACTCACTTCACTTTTCTACATATATATACCGTAACCACACTGAACAGAATCAGTCATATGCTCACACACAGACACAATCTTATTGTTTTCTATAATAGAATCAATGTACCTGGTGAAAACCTCCTGTGACCGACTCAAAGGCCCACTTATACCATTGAAATTTTTTTTGTGTAAATAGGCCTTTAAATAGGGATCTACAGTACATGCTGATTTTTTATTTATAGCCATGTCTAGACCTAATTATGTGTTGATCATTCTTAAACAACATCAAAAAATTCAAATTAAATAATTATAATAATAAGTATGCCGCTAAATGGGAGAAATAGAGATAGTTAAACAGATCAATTTGTTAATGCTGATCATTAGTAGGGCCCTGGCCTGTTTCACCACATCCTTCCATTCAGACATCATCATCTTAGGTGCTACAGCCCATCATAGGGGCCTGGTCTGCTCGTCTGCTCTACAACATCCTCCTTTTTGAGCTGATCCATGACTTTACACCTTCCAGGTGATTTTAGTCCTTTACAACTCAATCCATAACAGTCTTGGTCGACGGATGAGCCGTTAACCCCTAGGCTTCTGTCTGTAGATCACTTTTGCTGCTCTACAATCTAATATCCTCTCAGGGTTTCTTGCCCAAAGCAGCCTGCACCTTTACATTGCAGCAACTATGGATGGTTCCGGTACTGTAAATGTTCACTAGGAAATTGCATCAGCGGGCAGTCGAGCTAGTTCATTAGCTCTTTATGCCCTCCCCAAAGCACACACACCCTCACTCCCCAAGCCTGAGTTATCGGGCTGGGAAGCAGAACGTTGGAGATTTCCCTTTGCCAGGACAGCCCCAGCCCACACTCACTCCATTGAGTACCAGTGGAGGTCACCCCAGCACAAGGACATCCGGTAGGCCGGTGACGCTTCTCTCACAGCATCAGGAGTCGGGATGGTGTATTTACATCCTAAAATCGTACCCTGCCCATCCCTGGGAACGCCCGACGCCGTTGGATACAGATTTCTACAGTGGGTTTCTACCTTGAAACTAATTTATGAAGCAGCTGGGACGAAACGGTTGCATAGGTACAACTACTTTAACTGCTATGTAAATAGAACCATTGGCATGAGTTGCCACTACTCACCTCATGCCTCGTATCCTTAAAGGGCAACATGTAATCATGCTCCCTACCCTGTTTCTGCCGTTTTATTTCCAGCTGCAGATTTTCCACAGCTGGTAGCCTTTTAAGTGCTTCCATTTTCGGCAGATACTATGCACGCTCTTTGTCTGCCAGCACAGGCTCAAGCAATAATGGTGGTTTTGGTCCCAGTCTAGCGCTAGGGGGCAGCACCTCTTTAGCCAGCAAGCCACTACAAACTTGTCAACCAGAGCCCCAGGGGATATATATACCCATCCATCATTATCTAACACTGGACTGTATATTTTTCTGAGGATTTTCCAGGTATTGAACAGGTTCTCTTCTTTTGTCTGGCTGTTTTGCATTACCATTGGTCTTATGATAATAAAAGTTGTGTTTAGGGCCATCATAGTTTTCCTTGAGAGATTTCTGCTTCCTAGTTCTAGCTCGTGTAGGCCGAAATAAGAATGGCCTGCTTTTATCCTTTCTTTCATCTCTGTCATTATTTCATCTGTCTCTCTCACTCACTCACTCTCTCTCTGGTGTGCTTGTTTACTTTGATTTTGTCACCTGTGTGTCTGATATGTGACATTAACATACAATTTGTATTCGCTTCATTTACCTTTAGAGGTAACTCTTCTAATTCATGGAATGTTTAAATTATATCAATGCTGCTTCTCCCCGGTAAAGCTATGTTGTCTGCATATGCCAGGTACTGCACTGGTTCGGCTTTTGGTGTCCTGATGGTTGAGATTCTGATACGTTGTTTGTGATAGTTCATGTATGTTTCTCTGGAAGTTGTTTCTATAGTGCACTTTGCAGATATTTCCTGTCTAAGCTGTTGTGTAGTCCACATATGGTTGGTGTATATGGATGTTGTATTCTTGGCATTTCTTCTGGAGACATCTGGTGGTCAAATTATGATCTGTGGTGGGTCTATTCTGTCTGAATTCAAATTGATAGTCACTTAGAATATGTTCAGTAAACCTTTTCAGTTTTCTAGCTATTAATTTGTTGATGATTTTGTAGGTTACATTAATTAGGAAGATTCCTCTGTAATTTGAGCATTCCAGTTTAGATCCTCTCATGTGAATTGAGCGCAGTACCCCTTTTTATTTGGCATTTCTCTTCTTCCTGCCAAATTCTTGATATGAAGCTCTATATTTGTCTATGCAGTTCGTTTTCACTTAGTTTTATAAGTTCCACAGTGATAAGGTCGGTTCCTGGGGCTTTATTATTTTTCATGGTAAAGATCACGCTTTTTGTTTCATAGTTGGTTGGCTGTCCAAAGGGTACAGTTCTTGTGGTAGTTTGTAATCCTCATTGGCTCCACCGTAAAAGCCATATAGCATCCCTTCAAATCTTTGTGCCCTTCTAGTACCTTTTCTGTAATCAGTTCCTTATCTATAATGCTAATCACTGATAGGATTCCTAATAAATGCTGCTAGTTGTGCTGTATGCATGAATAAACAAATCCATGTCTTAATTGAAAGCTATTTTATTTTATTAAAAAAATGTGATAATTAAAACATTTTTATCTTCC